GACCAGCACCACAGGAGCAGGACTGCACTTTCCCATGCCACAGAGCTCCTGCTGGAATGCCTGAAAACCATCAGCTCTCAAGAGGTACTTGGGGAAGGGGTGAGTAATGAAGGGAGGCTGTTGATGATGGTGCCATGGGACCCTCTTCACTCGTTCAGAATGCTATTTTCTTTGGCAGCCATGCCTAATGTTTGGTACATTCTGAACCAGCAGTTGCCACAACATCTTTGCTCTTGATCCAAACCAGGTCTCTCCCACTTCCTGTCCTTGTGTGAGTTTTCTGATGCTGAGTGCAGGACTTCGTATTCTACCTCTACTAGAAGTGCTTTAAGGATGGAAGTTTGCAAGTGCCTGATGGTAAAACGTTAGAATTGGAAGGCTCAGAACGGCCATCTAATTTCACAGGTCTCTTTTCCATCTCCAAGGGGCCCTCTAGCTCTGCTCAGACAGACCCTAACAGGGAATTCACCAGCTCCCAAGATGACCCACACTCCTGAGAGACACAGTAAAAAAATTTGGCATGGGAGTAAAAAAAGCTAGGCCTGAGGTGCTCCCTACAAAGCCATTCTCAAAAAGCAGTCAAACATATACACAATGGAGTACTACACAGCTGTAAGAAAGAAAGATCTCTTATCCTTTAACACTATGTGGAGGGACCTGGAAAGTATCATCCTAAGTGAAACAAGCCAAACAGAAAAAGACAAGTATCATATGGTCTCACTTACTTGTGGAATATAATGAACACAGCAGTCTGAGGAATGGGGTAGTCCCAGAGACGTGGAAGTGGGGTACAGACTGACAATCCCCAGAAGAGGGGGTGGTGGGGGAGAGATAAACCATGGAACTTATATGCATGTATGCATGAACAATGGACATGGACAGCAAAGCTGGGGACAGGGCGGGGGGGGGGGGGGAATCAGTGGAGGGGAAAGGAGAAACATCTGTAACAAAAATTAATTAATAAAAAATAAATTTAAAAAAGCAGTCAAAAGTGGCACTTTTTGCCCTGGCTGGTTTGGCTCAGCAGTTGGAGCATCAGTTCAGGGACCAAAGAGTCGCAGGTTCGATTCTGGTCAGGGGAACGTGCCTCAATTGCAGTTTGGTCCCCAGCCCTGGTTGGGACCATGCAGGGGGCAACCGATTGGTGTCTCTCTCTTGCATCAATGTTTCTCTCTCTCTCCCTCCCTCCTACTCTATCTGAAGATAAATGGGAAAATATCCTCGGGCGAGGATTTAAAAAAAAAAGTGGCACTTTTCTGTGTGCTCCCCATGTTGGAAAAGCTTAATGTCACTTATGGTAGGACAATTAGTAAATCTTTCATATCAAGCCAAGTTTTGTCTTCCTATTATGTCCACTTACTGGTCATTCTCTTTGGAGACCATAAAATAAACTCACCTATTGTATGTTAATCATTTAAATAGTTGAGAATAGCAATAGCACTCACTTCATACATCTCTTTTCCAGACACGAAGTATGGCAAGGGCCTCAGATACTAGCATGCTGGGATAGGAAGGACATAACTCAGACTCTAAACAAAGATGACAATGAAAGGTACAGAAACAGAATTAAGAAAAATGTTCTAACACTATTCCAAATGTTTCCAGCTATGATGGCATCTGTTATAAAAGCTCTTCGGTACCCCTGGTAAAATCACTACTACTGTGGATGGAGATATGTGAGGTCTTAACCAAGTAGGTAGTTAGAAAATATCCATTTATGGCCCTGGCTAGATTGGCTCAGCGGTTGGAGCATTGGCCCGTGGATCAATGAGTCGTGGGTTCAATTCCGGTCAAGAGCACATACCTTGGTTGCAGTTCATCCCCACCCTAGTAGGGGTCATGCAGGAGGCAAACAGTTGATGTGTCTCCCTCACATCGATTTTTCTCTCTCCCTCCTTCCCACTCTACCTGAAGAAAAGGGAAAAAATAGAAAACATCTGTTTATGAAAGTTTGAATGTAGTATATATAAACACAGGAATACTGCTTCCATTGCATGCAAACCATGGGGAAAGCAGTTTCAAATATTAGCTTGGGATTTGCTATAAATCTTTAGTCTTCTGATGTATGAGTGAAAACATCAACTTCCATCTTGACTTTTTAGATTATCCCCAAGAATACTTCCACCCAGAGGTGTGTGTTTTTGTCACGCCCTATGAAAATTCAAACTAAGGGAAAAGACTGTGTGGCAGAACTATGGATGTATTTGCTTTCTACCACTGAGCTCCCAGCCAGAGGAGCTGCAAGAGATTCCTAATTCACTGCAAATTGGCCAATGCACTGTCACAGCAATATTAAAAGGGCACAACTCTGCAGAACAGTGAGTGGCTGCAATAGCTAAATACCCTTTGGTGGGCCTCTTCCCCTTTGCCCATTGTCTCCATCCCCTTGCTGTTCAAACAGCAGCCTTCTTCGAACAATCATTGCTCCTCTAGTTCCTAACGTGGTGCTACGAAGGGATGCCACTCAAGGGACTCAACACCCCCCAAACCAGGCTGGAGTCCTCCCTTAGGATTTTTCAAATGGGTGCTATGGTTGGTACAGGAAGAGGAGGAAGGTGTGGGATAAGGAAGAGCCCTCCCTCAAATAGAAAGGCTATGCAAATGAATGCCTAGGCACTCCTTATAGTGGAAGAGAACAAAGCAGTGGTGAGATGGAGACACTGAGGCCCTCAGAACTGCAGGTACCTGCCTGAGTACTGGTTGTTTAACTCCTCCTTTGACTTGGTGAGCTACACCAGGATCCCTTCTGTACAACTCTTTTTTAGCTGATGCTAGATAAAGATGGGCTTCTGTCCCTGGCACTAAACAACAGTCCTGACAGCAATACAAGAGCCAGCCTGGAGGGTATGGTTTCACAGAGACTGGTCTGGCATTTCCGCTATTTTACACTTGATCCAACCAACATTTACTGAGCGCTAATCATATGCCAGGCATGGTTCCAGATGCTAGAAAATACAAAGATGAAAAAGATATGGCCTTTGATCTAAAAAAATTCAGTCTACTACAGTCAGAGGCTTAGAACACTCATCCCACCAAAGTGTCTAACATCTTAGGAGACAAGATGGATACAAGTCAGGAATATCTAACATCTGAGAACAAATTTTAAATGGTCCTACTTAGTCAAAATTAGATTGTCAAAAGAATCTAAAAACCTGGACTTTTTTTTTTTTTTTTTTTAGGTACATGCCCTTAGCAGGAACCGAACCCAGGACTCTCTGGTCCGCAGGCCGGTGCTCTAACTACTGAGCCAAACTGGCCAGGGAAAAACCTGGACATTTTAAGTGACTAACTCAGCACAAGTACAACAGACGAGAAGGGGAACAGAGAGAACACCAATGACACAAAAGCCAAGATATGTAACAATTGCAGCAGCACCGGAGTATGGTAATCATGGCCCATTTAGACCCCAAAACAGTCACTACTGGTGATAAGTCAAACACTCAAGATTAAAAATACGTGGGAAACCACATCTAAAAATCATTAGACTCCAAAATATCTGACAGACTGACAAAGCTGAGAGGTAAAGATGATGGAAAGGGAATTGTTGCCCTGCTGGGTTTTCCAAGATCTGTTTCTAGCACGGACCCTGGAAGAACTGGACATTCATTAAATGGCAGGATATACCAGGTCACAGTCTAAAATGTCTGGCAAAAAGCCACCAGGGCTCCATTTGTACTGGACATTAACAGCAGCCAAATAAGAGACGTCCTCTGGCTCAAATCTCAGTCAATGTCCCCAAAAGACATTGAGGCCAGGGTCACAGGGTCAGGGTCAGTGATGAAGGCAACATTTACTTCTGATACTGACAGGTTGCTTCTGACAGGGCAGACAGCAGTAGTTTGTAGCTCACCTGTGAAAAAGTCTGGGATGAATAGGTCTTTTCACTGCCTTCTCCTCTCAAGCCTCTTTTGTAGAGGGATGTAGGTAGCAACAAAGGAGAGATTTATCACCAGGAGCCCGTTGGGCAGCTGTTTTCTTGTTGTCCCTTGTTTAACTTCTCTCAAGAGAGCAGAGTTATCTACCCAGCTAAGCAGGTGTTTAAGGCAGGTGATTTTGTTTCCATTAATTTTCTTAAGTAATAGTAAACCAGACTAGAGGGTTATCTCATGTACTCATGGGAAACCTTAACCCTGTGCTTGCTAAACCACAAAGTATATGCTGTGGTAGGAATGTTAACTTCTGCTCCCTGTTGGTTCTAAAATCTTCAAATCTCCAATTCTAATAGTAAGCAGAACATGAGAGTCACTGCCCATCCCTACCCCTGGACATTTGAATTTAGTCTTCTTTAATGACGTGTTAGTTATAAAGTGAAGTTGGAGGCCTTCAAGAAAAATCAGATAAGAGAAGCATTACTGCTCATTTTAAAACTCAGATAAACTATCACATTAATGACTATCACAGTTTCTTTTTTTTTTTTTTAATCCTCACCCGAGGATATTTTTCCATTTTTTGTACAGATAGACTGGGAGGGAGAGAGAGGAAGGGAGAGAGAGAGAGAAACATCGATGTGAAGGGACACATCGAGTGGCTGCCACCCGCACGACCAACCAGGGCCGGGGACAAACTGCAACTGAAGTACGTGCCCTTAGCAGGAACCGAACCCGGGTCTCTCCGGACCGCAGGCCGACGCTCTAACCGCTGAGCCAAACTGGCCAGGGCGACTATCACAGTTTCATGTTCCAAGCTACTGTGAGGGAGAGGTTAACATAAAATATGAAAAAAATTCTTTTTATTTTAAAGCCTAAGACTTGATAAACCTATAGATTCACCGCCCAGCTCTGGATGGACTTTCCAATCTTCTCTATGAGAAGGTCCACAGTGTATGCATCCTGCACTAGATCTGTGTCACTAGCCTCTCAGTAGGAATTTTTCTACTCTTCCTCTCAGCCATTCTCAACTGTAGAGAGCCACTATCCAATGGTGGGCCGAGGAGAACCACCACATTTTTATATATGCTGTACAAAATCCTGAAGTCTTTTATGCTTTAGTCATTTGATTACCTTTACTTTTCTCCTACTGTAGGGCCATTATCACAAAAAGCGAACATTCGATGGCACATTTCTTTCTCTTTATCTGTGTAGTCTCTGTAATAGCTGTAAGGAGAAATACACAGTAGTTAGAGAAGGTCTGTCTTTGTAAGAGGTGACATCTGGTGGCTGGAATTCTCCACTCAGGTCCAGAAACACTGAAAATTCAGTGGGCTTTAAACTGAATCAGGAGGAGGTGGAAGCAATGCTGGAGAGACCAGAGACACAGTGGAGGTTCCCAAGAGCTATCAAGGAAGCCCTTGGACAAAAAGTCCATTTCTGAAAAGATGGCAGCACCATCAGTGAAGCTGCCAGGTGGAGTCTTGCCAAGTGATACCTCACACTCAATAGCTACTAACTTATTTTGAAATTTTCTTGCTAAGAAATGGTTAGATTCCAAAATTTCTACATTTAACCTGACAGGATACTTATAAATATCAGAAAGAAAATTAAATTGCTGGACAGTTCTAAAAGGCCCAAAATGCAACAGTTGGATCCAAATATAAGAGGTGCACATACCTCAGACTTTTTTTTTTTTATTCTCACCCATGGACATTTCTCCATTTTTTGTTCAGATAGAGTGGGAGGGAGAGAGAGAGAGAGAGAGAAACATCGACGTGAAAGGGACACATCGAGTGGCTGTCACCCGCACAACCCAACCAGGGCCGGGGACAAACTGCAACCTAGGTACATGCCCTTAGCGGGAACCGAACCCGGGTCTCTCCGGACCGCAGGCCAACACTCTAACCGCTGAGCCAAACCGGCCAGGGCCCTCAGACTTTTTTAATGTCAAGAAAGCTTTAACTATGCAATTTGGATTAAATGTTTAATGTTAATAGGACTAGAGAAATTCATCAATGCAGAAAAACAACAACAAAAAAACCCATCTGAAAAACAGTGGATATATTATGAGATGATGGAATATGGGTGCTTTCTTTTTTTTTTTTAATTTTTTAAAATTTTTGTTACAGATGTTTCTCCTTTTTACCCCATTGGCATCCCCCTCCCCACCCCACCCCCGCCCCGTCCCCGGCTTTGTTGTCCATGTCCATTGGTCATGCATTCATGCATATAAGTTCTGTGGTTTAGCTCACCCCCTCACCCCCTCTTCTGAGGGATGTCAGTCTGTGCCCTACTTCCATGTTTCTGGGTCTACCGTATTCCTCAGACTGTTATGTTCATTATATTCCGTATATAAGTGAGATCATGCGGTGTTTGTCTTTTTCTGCTTGGCTTATTTCACTTAGGATAATACTTTCCAGTACTGGCATTGGGTAATTTCTATTTACATGTTGATATTTTTGGTTTTCTACAATAAACATGAAATTTCTATAATTATAAAAAGTTACATTACTGGCCCTGGTCAGGTGGCTCAGTTGGTTGGAACATCATCTATACACCAAAAGGTAACGGGGTTGATATCCAGTTGGGGCACATATGGTTGATGTTTCTCTTTTACATCAATGTTTCTCTCTCTTCCTTCCTCTCTCTAAAAATCAATAAAACCATATCCTTGGGAGAAGATTAAAATAAATACATTTTAAAAATAAAATAAAGTTACATTCCTGGAAGACTGGTGTATATATATAACTTGGATAACAAGAAAGTCACTCTATGGGTATGAATCAGACCTGAAAGATCAATTTCAGATCAAACCAGGGTCTGTAAGGCACCTTTCTACGGTCAGTTGAGAACCATGGTTCTCTGTTGATAAGTAGAAAGAGTATCTGAAGAACAAGTCATTTAAAAATATAGCTCTAGGGGGCGCTGCCTCATAACATGTGCTGGACAACATACCCCGGTAGAGAGATCAGAACTGTAGATGCATCACGTATGTCTTTCTCTGTTAGCTGGAGTGCAAACACAGGTCTCACCTGGCCAGTTTCTTCAGTTCATTATTGATGTCATGATTGAAGGGCTGTTCCTTCTGGGCTCGGACTAGAAAATCCCTGGCCTTCTGATACTCAGTCATGAGGAGACAGGCCTGTCAAAGGACAGAATTTAAAAGCACACTTAGGAAAGAACATTTTTGCAGTGCCCAAGTTGAACACTACTGCCACCTTTTCTTAGGCGTTTGTTCCAAGTCTCTGCCCTCCAACTCACCTGTCCACACCGGAAGAGGGCTTTGGCATTCTTTTGGTCAATGATCAGAGCCTGCTCTCCATAGTGCAGGGCCCTGGTGGGTTGCTCCAGCTTCAGGTATGTAAAGGAGAGGTTAAGAAGAACAAGAAGCTTGGCGGCCTCCACCAGGTGCTGCTCTTCAGGGGGTGCTGATCGCCTGCGAAGAAGCAACAAGGCCTATGGAGAGGAAAGACAGGTAGTCAAGAGGAGTGACACTCTTATATACAGAAAACCCTGAAAATCCACACACACAAAAACCCTTTGAGCTAAAAAATTAGTTCAGCTAAGTTTCAGGATATCAGATCAACATATGAATTAGCTATATTTCTATACTCTAGCCATAAACAATCCAAAAATGAAATTAAGAAAATTCCACTTACAGTATCATCAAAAAGAATAAAATAAGTAGTAATACATTTAAAGTGCAAGACTTGTACAATAAAAACTATAAAACATTGTTGGAAGAAATGAAAGAAGACTTAAATAAATGGAAAGACATCTCATGTTCATGGATCAGAAAATTTAATGTAAGATGGCAATATTTCCAAATTGCTGTACAGATTTAATGCAACCATACCAAATTTTCAACAGCCTTTATTTTTGCAGAAATGATCAAGCTGATTTGAAAATTTGAGGGACCCCGAATAGCAAAACAATATTAAAAAGAAAAGTTGGTAGACACACTTTCTAATTTAAAAACGTATTACCAGGCTATAGTAACCAAGCCAGTGTGGTACAGCACAAGGACAGACATCTAGATCTATGGATTAGTAATGATAGTGTAGACTGAAAGTCCACAGACAAACCTATACATCTAAAGTCAACTGATATTCAACAAAGGTGCAACACCATTCAATGGAAAAAGAGTAGCCTTCTCAATAAATGGTGCTAGGACGACTAGATATCAACATGTAAAAAAAAAAAGTACAATCTAAAAAAAAAATCTACCTCACACCATGTACAAAAATTAACTCAAAATGGATCATAGAGCTAAATTAAAGAACTGAACTGTAAGACTCTAAGAAAACACAGATGTAAATCTTTGTAACCTTAGACAATGGTTTCTCAGATACAACACCAAAAGAACAAATAACCAAAGAATAAATAAATTAGACTTCATCAAAATTAAAAACTTTTGTGCTACAAAGGACACTGAAATAAATGAATAAAGAAAATGAAAAAGAGGAAGGCTGATGTTTAAGAAAATCATTACAATCACCAGTTACTGGTTTAAGCTGACAACATATAATGGTTTACTACTGACATTATCTATGCCTACAAGTAATTTATTTTGTATTTTTTAATAAAAAGACAGTTGTACATTCCCAAAAAGATCAAGAGTGAAATTAACCCACAGACTGGGAGAAAATATCTGCAAATTATATTTGATAAAGGTTTAGTATCCAAAATATATAAAGAACTTTTACAACTCAACAATAAAAAGACAACCTGGTAGCCCTGGCCAGTTTGGCTCAGCGGTTAGAGCGTCGACCTGCGGTCTGGAGAGACCCGGGTTCGGTTCCCGCTAAGGGCACGTACTTCGGTTGCAGTTTGTCCCCGGCGCTGGTTGGTCGTGCGGGTGGCAGCCACTCGATGTGTCCCTTCACGTCGATGTTTCTCTCTCTCTCTCCCTTCCTCTCTCTCCCTCCCACTCTATCTGTACAAAAATGGAAAAATATCCTCAGGTGAGGATAAAAAAAAAAAAAAGACAACCTGGTTAAAAAACAGGCATAGGATTGAATAGACATTGCTCCAAAGAGGATATACAAATGGCCAATAAGCAGTAAACCATTATATGTTGTCAGCTTAAACCAGTAACTGGTGATTATACTGATTTTCTTGATAAGATAGCCTCTTCTTCATTTTCTTCATTCACTTTTTTGATAGTGTCCTTTGAAGTACAAAAGTTTTTAATTTTGAAGTCCAATTTATTTATTCTTTGATTATCTGTTCTTTTGATGTTTTAACTAAGAAACCAGTGGGGACATCCTGAGCATATCTGGAACTGCTGGACGGTGAGAGGCATGATCACATGGAAAGTAGTGTCAACAGAGGCTTTCGTTCTACTGCTATGCGAACATTTAGGAAGAAACAGTGATAGGTACAAAGAAAACCAGGCAAAAAAAGAGGCAATTCAAGGGGCAGAAGGGGGCTGCTGCACAAGTAAGCATAGTGAAGAGCTGGGCTCAGCAGGTATAATATTATATAACCTTCATAACATAAGACTGAATACTGACTTTTTAAAAATTATGACAATACTGAGAAAGCAGAAGTGAGAACTAAAGCCTCATCTTCTGTAATGAAAAATAAAAATGTCAAAAAGAGCAACTAAAGTCATGTCATTTATAAATGCAGAATATCACAGAAATGCAGATATAATTAAAAAATGACTGCCTCAGGGGATCAGTCCTAGGAAATAAGTGATGGAAGGGGTAGTCTGTTTTTTATGAGAAAAATTTTTTCAAGTGAGCAGGCTCTCAAGAAACTTTACAAATAGTATCCATGATTCAGCCTAACTATGAGCCAAAATCTATACTATCCAAGTTTAAGAACCTGATTTTGTCAGCATTCCAAAAGACAGGCACATACATACATGCTTTCCTCTTTCTCTCTCTGAAGCACATTCATATAAGACGAATGTGACAGATACTATTAGCTGCTTACCCAGTATCTATTCCCCTCCCTCTTCCCCTATTTCCATTCCATTCAAAGCAGCAATGTACTAATCTAAAAAGTATATTTCTGCCCTGCCGGTATGGCTCAGTGGATTGAGCATCATCCCATGGACTAAGAGGTCGCCTGATTAAATTCCTGGTCAGGGCACATACCTGGGTTGTGGGTTCGATCCCCAGTAAGAGGCATGCAGGAGGCAGTCAATGTTTCTCTCTCACATGGATGTTTCTATCTCTCTCTCCCTCCTGCTCTCTCTCAAAAAAAAAAAAAAAAAAAATCAGTAAAAACATTGTTTAAAAAGTGCATTCCCCAGCTTCCTACCTATACATCTCAGGGTGTCCATTTAAATGGCCAATGAAATATAAAGGGAAGTAATAAACACACCAGACTCCTCTCCTCTCTTCTTTCTGTCCAGATAATCATGTGATGCTACAAGTTGAATTATCTTCTTAGGGGTACAAAACAAGGACACATTTAAGAGTAACTGAGTAGAAAGACAGAAGGAACCAAGATTCCTGGTGGCTTTGTGGAACTGCTATATAGCCTTGGACAGCCTCCTTTTTTTTTTTTTTTTTTTTATCCTCACTTGAGGACATTTTTGCATTTATCTTCAGACAAAGCGGGAGAGAGAGAGAAACATCGATGTGAGAGAGACACATCGCAAGGTTGCCACCCGCACAACCCCAACTGAGGCTGGGGACAAACCTCAACCGAGGTATGTGCCCTTAGCGGGAACCAAACCTGGGACTCTGGTCCGCAGGCCAGCACTCTAACCACCAGGGCCACCTCCCTTTTTATGTGAGGAATAATTAAGTATCTAGTTTACTTAAAGAACAGTGTTTCAGGATTCTGTTGCTTCCAGTTAAGAACACATTTGGAATGATTTAGGCTTAGTATGCAAATGAGATATAAAATCAGACTACCCCTAAACTGTCCTGTTTGTGTCTAGAACATAAGGGACAAAGTCTGGCACACAGAAAGTACTCATCATATTTACTGAATGAGTTACAAAGCACAGTGACTTCCTGTCAGCATAACCTACACAAGAAGCCAAATCACCATCAAAAGCTTGGTGAGAAGGGAGTCTTCTCAGAGAGTTAGATGAATCTCTACCATCAGACAGGAAATGAAGACGGCAAACTTAATAGAGAGGGAGGTGAAAAAATCAGTTGGTAGAGGACCTAATACTAAGATGAGAATTAAAAAAAATCTTTTTACTTAAATACATTCATACATACATACATACACAGAGGTAAGTACAGAAAATAAGTGTACAGCTCAATGAATTTTCACAAGCTGAACACCCCATGTAATCAGCTCCAGTACCAGGAGAACACCATGCTCCCCCCAAATACCTTGTCCCCTTCTCCCAGCTATCTGGCATGAAGAGGTTTAATGAGATTTTTCTTAATGACTGCATATAAAAAGTAGAAGAGACAAGGTCTATATCTTTTAAACAAGGAGTTTTTCAGGGTCTACACATACTTCTTAAGCATTCTTACCCGTTTATATCTCACTTTGGCATCATAGAAACGATTTTGGCGGAAAAGGTAGTTGCCAAACTCCCGTTCAGTAGCTGCCACTTTTAGGACCTTCTGAAGTGGAAATTGATCTTGTTGTTCCTGAGGACCAAAGACAAAGATGCCCAGTGAGAAAACTGAACGTCATGATGTGGATGTAATTACACCTGTTCCATGTTTCTCCAGATTAGGAACTTTTGTTTACTGCCGTATGTGTCAAGCATTGGGGGAGGTGCCTCTACTGAGCTCATCTCTGTGAATCCCAAAAGAAGTCACAGCAGTTCGGTGTTATCACTGCCCTCACTTTACAGCTAGAGCCAAAAGGAAATCTACTTTTATAGTCCTCCCAGAGATGCTCCCTAAAGCAGCAGTTTTCATGGAATTACAAACTGATGGAACTTGTCAAGCACAGAAATCAAGATGATTTATTTGACAGGTCTTGGTTTGCTCAGGGCCCCACTGGTCTTTATGGCCACCATATGCTACCTTGGATACATATCAAAACCACTCATTGAGCCTCTTTTTAAAAAGAGATACCCTGTCCCCTGACCCCACTAATCTAATACAGTATACCAGAGGTGGGACCCAGGCATCTGCAAGAACCTCTGTTTTTTGTAAAGATGAAAAAAAGTCAGATCCCTCACTTGAGGTCCTGACAGTTTAGCTGGGGAGACATCAGACACAGATGTAAACCTAGGGTGGACATCTAAGGTCACATATACGGTCAGTGTGAGATAGAATGACAAAGTGTGCATATGACTACTAATGAGATTAGAAGCCCTATCTCTAGAGTAAAGGTTAAGCAGAGGCAACAAAGAAATGATAACACTAAAATTATGAGAATAGAGGCCATATATCCCACTTTGCCTGGGATTATCCCAGTTTACACCTGATGTCCTAGTATCCTATTCAGTGAATAGTCCCTTTCACTCTCAAGTATCCTGGGTTGCACAACAATTTATATGGTCACCCTACTGATGAGCTACCAATGTTTGACTTGCTGGAAACCAAACTTAAGGTTAAGAAGCAAATGTTCACTGTCTTGACTTCCGGTCAAGATGGCGGGATAGGTAAACGGGTATCGTGTCCTCCCACAACCACATTAAAGTTACAACTAAACTACAGAACAACCATCATTCAAAACTGCCTGAAATCAAGCTGAATGAAAGTCCTACAACTCTGAAATTAAAGCAGCAGCTGCATCCAGACTGGTAGGAGGGGGGAAGTCAGAAGGGCTGGCCCCACACCCACATAGCGGATAAAAATCAGGAGGACACCTCAGCTGGGAAGGTCCTCCCTGAGGACTGAGGGGTCCCTGTCTCACACCAGGTGCCCCGCTCAGGGTTCCAATGCCAGGAAAAATCCCCATAACTTCTGGCTGGAAAAACCAGCAGGAACTGAGGCTCAGGGAAGCTGACGTGGCTGGAGCCCCAGCCAGCTCCTTAAAGGGCCCGTGCACGAACTTATCAGACTCTCTCCCTCTAAGCTTGGAGGGGAGGCAGCTCAAGGGGCACCAGAGACATACAGGGAAGAACTGAGCTGTTTGGCACTGGAGCGAGGGCTGGACAGGGGGCTTTCTCCGGGACAAACATGCTGTCAGAGGACTTTGTTCCTTTGGTGAGCCCTTCCCTGGGGCGGCAGACAGAAGCCATATCTGGGGCTCCAGCAACCTGGCTCACACTGGTAGCCCCGCCCTGCTGACTCCCTGAGGCCACGCCCCACCCAACTTTCAGGCCCACCCAAGCTGTTGCCACTTGCTTAACCACAGGATTGGCCTGTCTTGGATCCTGCTTCAGGTTTTTCCTAAATTCTTTCAAACAAGCAGCATCTGGTCTCAGCTAGCCCCATACCGCTCATTAAGTAATATACAGAAACAAACACAGGGAGGCAGCCAAAATGAGGAGACAAAGAAACAGGTCCCAAATGAAAGAACAGAACAAAACCCCAAGAAAAGAACTAAGTGAAATGGAGATAAGCAACCTAACAGATGCTGAGTTCAAAATACTGCTTATAAGGATGCTCAATGAACTCAGTGAGAACCTCAGTGAACTTAGTGAGGGCCTCAAGAGCATAAAAAAGGACCAGTCAGAAATGATGGCTGCACAGTCAGAAATGAAGGAGGCAGTAACTGAAATAAAGAATAATTTATACAGATTCAATAGTAGAATACGTAAATCCAAGAAGCAAACCATCGATATAGAATATAAGGAAGCAAAAAATGCCCAATCAGAACAGCAAAAAGAGAAAAAATTCCAAAAAAAATCAGGATAGTGTAAGGAGCCTCTGGGACAGCTTCAAGCGTGCCAACATTCACATCTTGGGGGTGCCAGAAGGAGAAGAGCGAGAACAAGAAATCGAAAACCTGTTTGAAACAATAATGGCAGAAAACTTTCCTAACTTGGTGAAGGAAACAGACATACAAGTCCAGGAAGCACAGAGAGTCCCAAATAAGATGAACCCCAAGAGGCCCACACCAAGACACATCATCATCAAAATGCAAAAGGTTCAAGACAAAGAGAATCTTTTTTTTTTTTTTTTTAATCCTCACCAGAGGATATTTTTCCATTTTTTGTTCAGATAGAGCGGGAGGGAGAGAGAGGAGGAGAAAGAGAGAGAAACATCGACGTGAAGGGACACACCGAGTGGCTGCCACCCACACGACCAACCACGGCCAGGGACAAACTGCAACCGAGGTACGTGCCCCTAGCGGGAACTGAACCCAGGTCTCTCTGTACCGCAGGCCGACGCTCCAACCGCTGAGCCAAACTGGCCAGGGCCAAAGAGAATCTTAAAAGCAGCAAGACAAAGGCAGTTAGTTACCTACAAGGGAGTTCCCATAAAGCTGTCAGCTGATTTCTCAAAAGAAACTTTGCAGGCCAGAAGGGAGTGGCAAGAAATATTCAGAGTAATGAAAAGCAAGAACCTACAACCAAGATTACTCTATCCTGCAAAGTTGTCATTTAGAATCGATGGCCATATAAAGAGTTTCCCAGACAAGAAAAAGTTAAAGGAGTTCATCACCACCAAACTGTTGTTATATGAAATGATGAAGGGTCTTTTTGAAGAAAAAGATAAAATATATGAACAAACAAAATGGCAATGAATACATATCTATCAACAATGGAATCTACAAACAAAATGAACAGGCAGAACAGAAACATTCTCATAGATACAGAGAACATTTTATTGGTTGCCAGATGGGAGGGGACTTGGGGGAATGGGTGAAAAAGGTGAAGGGATTAAGAAGTACAAATTCATTGCTAGACTGACAAACCTCAAAGGGAAAGGGGTTGAGGGGGGTGGGAAGAAATAAACCAAAGAACTTGTATGCATAACCAATGGACACAGACAATAGTGTGGGAGAGGGGCGGGAATGGGGAGGAGGGGTCAATGCGGGGAAAATGAGGAACATCTGTAATACATTCTACATTCAACAATAAAGATTAAAAAAAAAATGTTCACTGTCTTGCAGAAAGAAGTAGGCAAACGATGACTGAAAAATCAGCTCAAATTGCTGGTCCATAACAAACCCACAGCCTGACCTTGGCCTAGCACAGTTACCCACATATAAGAGCCAATATTAAGATGGACAGTACTAGGAAGTGGGGGAACATCCACCACCACCACCAACCCCAGGAGCCTCAGGGATGGAACCTGGACCAGAGGAGAATCCACAAGGCATGATAATTACCCAAAATACAAACTCAACCCTCTCTATATGAAGTGCTGACATTTGTGTTCCAGAACTTACAGCTGACAGGGCACAAAACTTGTCTGATTCAGCAGAATCCAGGAAGTCAAGTAGCTCAATCTCAAACAGGACAGTGGTGTTTGGGGGGATCAAGGGCGGGCAGCCTAGTGTTCCATAGGCATAGGTTGGTTTGAACAGAAATCTGGCCAGCTCTCCCCTCCGCATGCTCAGAAGGCCCAGCTCCATGCCCCAAAGTGTAATATCTGGAAGAAGGGACAAAGAACTTGGTTGAAGCTTGCCCAGTATCCTGTTCCAATGCTATTTCTTCCCTCTTTACGTCCAAATCTCTCCACATGATCTTTTTTTTTTTTTTTTTTTAATGAATTTTTATTTATTTTTTTTGTTACAGACATTTTACCTTTTTACCCCGTTGGCACCCCCCACCCCACCCCACCCTCCACCCTGTCCCCGGCTTAGTTGTCCATGTCCATTGGTCATGCATACATGCATATAAGTTCTGTGGTTTATCTCTTCCCACCCCCCCACCCCCCATCCCCTCTTCTGAGGGATGTCAGTCTGTGCCCTACTTCCATGTGTCTGGGTCTACTGTATTCCTCAGACTGTTATGTTCATTATATTCCATATATAAGTGAGATCATGTGGTATTTGTCTTTTTCTGCTTGGCTTCTTTCACTTAGGATAATACTTTCCAAGTCCCTCCATCCACATGATCTTTCAAGCCTTCTGCATTGTGGCCCCAACTCACTTTTCAACCTTGTTTCCCACTGCCACCACCATTCCAACTCTAACTTCTCTAGGTTCTGCAGCATTCTAGCCTCTACATCTTTGTTCACACAGTTCTTTCTTCCTGAAACATCTTCCTCCTCATCCCATGCCCAGCTTCAGCCCTGACTGAAATCTCATTCAAATTTCAGGGCTTGTGTCAAATGCCCCTTCTTCCATGACACCTTCCCTGATCTTCCTAGCTGGAATCAACAGTGCCTTCATAAAGTACTCCTGCAACACTGCTTATACCTCCCAGGAACTTATCCGATTCTACCAGGTTAGATGTCTGAATGCACGAGTCAATCTCCTCCACTACACTGGCTGAGATGTTCTAATCATCTGGGTACATTCACTCTTTTCACCATGCATTGTGGGTAGTAAGCATTCAACAGATATTTACTTAACAAACAAACAAACAAACAAAAACACAATGCCCAGTGGTTAAGTCAGGCTGCAAAGATAACCTTGCCAGGTAGGACATTTCCCAAATACCTAGGTTTCGAGAGGAAATGTAGGAGAGACCAGCTGGTTTAGCAAAACCCAGCCTCAAAAAAACCAACTCAAAGAATCTGTGCCCTGGAGAGTTTTCCAGTCCTAGGGCATTGACCTTCACTGACTCCCCCAAAAGAACTCCTCTCCCAGCTCATAATGTGAACTTACCCACTCCAAGCTTCATGAGTCGAGGAGTTTTCCTAAAGCAATTCGAGTCAAAAGGCTTGTCCATGTGCTCCAGGTATCCAGAGTATTTCACTAGGACAGAGGAAAGAGACACAGAAACATGGACTAACACCTTCACCTCTACAACATCACGTCTCTATCACACAAAAACAACAGAATTAGATGTCCTTCAACTGCCCCACACCCTGAGTGATAGGAAGAAATCTTTGCTCAACATTTGGAGGCCTGCCCTTCCGCTCTGAGGTTCAGAAACTTGGCTGGTGGGCCTCCAGTGTCCCTTGTTCACAGTGGCGTCGTGCAAAGGGGACATGGGGTTCCCTTGCTTTCCCTTAAAAATTCGAATTCCAACAAAGCATGTTCTATCTGATAAAAATGCTATATTTTTGAAAATGTAGCCTCTCCTCCCCCCAAAGTAAAGGGTCGTGAAACCGCCGTCCTCTCGCATCGCCAGCTTCTCAAGGACAGAGGGCACCGGGACCGCGGGCCGTACCTAGCACGGAAGCATCGGGTGTCACCAGCTCACCCGCGCCCTCTCGGATGACGTCCTTCAGCACGCCCTGGTCCCCGGAGATGTCCTGCATCCACTGACTTAACCTCTGGTACGGAGACTTTGGGGGGCAAGACACAGACTTGAGAGCCCTCAGACTGACCCAGCCCGGTGCCCGGCCCTGCCTCGCCAGCGCGGGCCCTCACCTGGCCGGGGGCGCCGTCCCCTCGCTTGACGCCCGGAGTCCGGGGGTTCCCCACCATGTCCGCGCGGACAAGCCCGGGCGCCCTCCCCGAGCCTGCGACTCCAGGAAATTCCCGAAGGCGGCAACCCAGCCGCCCCTTTATACCCCGCAGTCTGCTCTTGACCCGGGCATTCGGTCCAGGGGCCGCGAGGAGCTCAAGGCTTCGTCCCAACCGCAGCCAACGGCTCTCGCGGGGGTGGGGGCACGTGACAGGGCGCGCAGAGCACGGTGGGGCGGGTCATGGCTCCGAGCAGGACGCACACATGCTGGGGACTCTCAGAACACCTTGCCGCACGTGATGGTGGGGGTGGGGCACGTGATGGGGAGGCACTGAGTGGGTCACGTGGCCATCGCCCCCTGGTGAACACAAGGCCCCAGAAACAGCCTACTGCTGGAGTCTAAGTTAGCAGTGGGTTATTTACACTTTTAATTTTTTTTCTTGTGCTTTTCTGAGAAATTTAGGCCAGGGCTTTAGAGTGAAACTGCCCAGTTCCTGAGAAAACCAGGTGATGATGTCCCTCAATTTTACGTCAGCAAACCCAGAATATCTGCTGCACCTGCTCCCTTGCAATGCAAAGGGAGGATGGTCCTGGATTCCATCCCCTCCTGCTTGTTCCTTGGGCCCTTGGGCCCTTGTCTACCCCATCTCTCCTGCATCAGTCTTGCCTCGAATATTGGATCGTTTCCTTCTGCTTATGTGTCCAAAAAAATCTCCTACATTAAGAGAAATGAGCTTCCTTTTGTCCCATAGTGCCTTCCTGCTACAGGTGGCCCCACTGCTACTCTTTACAGAAAAACTTCTCAAAAGAGTTGCTATGGAGGCCTTTTCAACTACTCTGTCTCCACTTCCTCACCCTCCATTTTCTGTTCAACCCACTTCAATATAATCACTTTTCCCTGCTCTTTGCCAGGGAGACTGCTCCTGTTGCCAAATCCATCAGACACCTTCTGTCCTCAGATCACGACTCTTGTCAGCATTAGATGCAGTTGACCTCTCTGACCTTTAAACATTTTTTCTTTTGGCATCTATTTTTGTTTTCTTTTAAAAAAATTTTTTTTCTTTATTGATTTTAGAAGGAGAGAAAGGGAGAGGGAGAGAGAGAGAAAAACCGATGAGAGAGAACATGGATTGGCCACCTCCTGCATGCCCCCCACTGGGGATCGGACCCACAACCTGTGCATGTACCCTGACTGGGAATCAAACTGACAACCTCTTGGTGCATAGGTTGATGCTCAACCACTGAGCCATACCAGCCGGGCTATATTCATTTTCTATCACTGTCATAACAGATTACCACAAACCAAGCTGTTTAAAGCAATGCCTGTTTATTCTCTCACAGTTCTGTAGGTTAGAAGTCTGACATCGGTCTCACTGGGCTCAAATCAGCGCATCAGCCTGACTGGAGGCTTTGGGGAAGAATCCATTTCAAAACTCATTCAGGTTGTTAGAAAATCCAGATCCTTTGAGCTCTAAGTCTGAGGTCCCTATGTCCTACCTGGCTGTCAGCCTGGAGTCACCCTTAGCCATAGAAACTTCTCTCCCTTCCTTGCACATAGACCCCAACAGCTGAGTCGGCAATAGCATGCTGAATCCTTCTCATGTTTGGAATCCTCTTGTTTCCTCTTCTGTAGCATCTCTGACTCCAGCCAGAGAAAGTTCTGTGCTGTAAGGGGTCATGTGATTAAATCAAATCCACCTGGATAATTCTGGTCTATGACTGTGATTACATCTTCAAAGTCCCTTTCACCATGTAAGGTAACATATTCACAGAGTCTAGAAATTAGGGCATGGATATCGTTTGGGGGTAGGAATTCTGCCTTCCACAGCTTCCTAGTCACCACACTCTCCTGGTGGTCCTCTTACCTCACTGGCTGTCTCTTCTCAGTCATCCTCCACTTTCTGACCTCTAAAAGTTAGCAACCTCAGCGGGGGGCTGTCCTTGGACCCCCGCACCCTTCTCTTTTTCAATCCCAGAGAGATCCCAACCATTCCCACAGTTTTAAATATGTGCTATAAACAGGTGGTATATACCTGGTTAGCCTAGACTCGGGACAGTGAAACAAGGAAGGGCATAGAAGAAGCAACGGAAGTGCCTAGGTTAGGCTGCTTTAGCTCACTGGGAAGTCAGAGAAAAGGGGCCTTACTAAGGCCCTAGAGCCTTCCAAGTGCCAGAGCTCCAGGTTCCTGTGTCCAGTTGCCTTTTTCACTGGTTCTCAAAGATCAATCAGTCCTCAGACCAACAGCATCAGTGCTTGTTACAAGTGCAAATACTTGGGCCTATCCATGTACTCCTGAATCAGAACTCTGCGGCGAGGGCCTGGAAATTTGTGTTTCGACAAGCCCTCTAGGTGATTCCAGTATTTGCTGAAGTCTGCAGACCAGCTGGGCACTCAGTTTCTCCACATGGATGTCCTCAGGCTTCTAACTCTGGACTCCTCTTGTATTTTGTTCATGTCATTCTTCTCTGTATCAGTCATTTGACTTCATCCGTCCACCCAAGTGCTCACACTATTGTGATCCATTATCTACACAGCAGCCAGAATATTTAAAAAATATAAACGAGGTGATATTCCCTTGCCTTAAAACCCTCCAATAGCTCCCACTGCCCTTGAAATGAAATCCAAACTTTTGCCCTGGTCTACACAGCCCTCCTTGCCAACCTCTCTGGCCTCATCTTCTGATGTTTCCTCTCCCTTACCATGCTTCAGCTACCCAGGCCTCCTTGCTAGTGCTTTCCAGCCTCAGGGCCTTTCCCTTGCTGACCCAGTGCCTGGTCTATCCTCCTGAATCCTTTCAGGTGGCTGGCTTCTGTGTATCCTTCAGGTGTCAGCTCAACCATCCCTCCTCAAAGTGCACTGTCCTGCCCCTTGCTCAAGTGCACCTCACACAACCTGTCACCCCATTCTCCCTTCTCACTATTCTGTTTACTTCCTGCATAGCATTTAACACTATTATATTAACTTGTATATTTATGACTTTATACCACTCCTACCTCCATACATCATAAACTCCAAAAGGACAAACTTTGTCTGTCTTGTTCTTTAATATATTCATAATACCCAGCACACTGCTTGACACATAGCATGTTCTCAATAAATATTTCTTGAATTAATAAATAAAATCAGCTTTCTACCTGCCTATACCAGATCTTAGTCTTGCTTAATACTGGGGTGGAGATCACCCCTGCTGGCAGACGTGGGTGCTTAGGCCTATGGGAGTTGTGGTCTACTGTTCTAGAGCCCGCCCTTCCTTCTTTCCTTCCTTCCTTCCTTCCTTCCTTCCTTCCTTCCTTCCTTCCTTCCTTCCTTCCTCCCTCCCTCCCTCCTTTCCTCCCTCCCTCTCTCCCTCCCTGCCTCTCTCCCTCCTTTCCTTTCTTTTCCAAATGAGTTGGTTTAATTCCAGGGTGCAGAATGCAGGATAGAACAAAGACCGAAGAACACACTTTGGCAGGAATCTGGGCTGGGTTTACGCTGACCCCACAGCTCAAGTTGAAATGGCTGAGTGAGAAGAACTAAAGAGATGAGCCACTGCAGGATTATTACTGTTATTTACACAAGTTAATTCTTAAATATACCACAGGCTCCAAGACAACACTTCATTCTAGCTCTAGGTAACACTTTATTCTAGCTCTAGGCAACAGATGGTATGACAGGGCATCCAGATGTTAGAACAGGAATGGAATTAAGGATCACCATTGCCCCAGGCACAGGGAACAGCTCGCTTTTTGCCATTTGTTAATCCCACTTGTGGCCAGAGGGCCCTTCCCCACAGCCTTTACTTTCAGTTTCTTGAGTTTCTTCTGCTCTTGTTTTTGCTTTTGCTTGAATGCCTTATCTTCCTCGTCCATCTCCTCGGTTTGCTTCTTGGGCTGCTTCAGGGGCTTCTTCTTGCCACCTTTGAGGCCAGAAATGGTGCCTGCCACCCTTCCCCAGACCCTGCTATGGGAAGCTCTAGAGCTTCTGTTTAACACTGCTGGAGAGCCTCTCCACCCTGTCCTTTCCCGTCAATAATTTCCCACCACAGCCCTGGGGTATATATAGTATCTATGACCTGTATACCATATATCCAGCATACATAGTATATTATTAACTCTATAACATGTCATTAAACTTCTAAACCTGTGAAAGTCTGCATATTAAAAAGTTTTTAATGCAATATTAAATAAAGAAGTTACCACGAAAGAGGACATACTATGTGATTTTGTTCTTTTGAAATTCAAAACCAGGCCACATTAATCTACAATGATATGAGCACGAAAGTGGCTTTTCTTGTTAGATGTTCTGACTAGGGGGCAGCATGAGGGAGGCTTCTAGGTACTGGAAATGTTCTGTATCTTGATCTTGAGAGTGAGTATATATAAAGTGTACGTTAAGTGTATGGTTAAGATTTATGTACTTTTTAGAAGATATCCTCCCAATTAAATCTAAATAAGTAAATAAAAATATATTTTAAAAAGAGAGAGAGATTTAGACAGTTGTGCTGAAGCACAAGTCTGTTCCCGTGTGGGGTCTGTAAGGTATGTATGGGTACCTAGCCTCTCTGTCTCCACCCCTTCCCCTTGCTTGGCCAAAGCAAGCACCTGAATGTTACAGTTATCAGAGCCAGCCCAGCAGAGGCTGCCTCCCCAGTCCCATGATGTGGTCTAGTTTCCACCTGATTCTGGGTGACCTTGAGGACATGGGGGTGTTGCCGGGAAAGGGGAGGAGAAAAGGGGCAGTGACTAGGTGGTGGAGCAGGCGTCCAGCTGCAATCCTCAGGTCTCTGCTCCTGCTATTCCATCCTGGGGAGAAGAGGCCAAGTCAGCTAGGTCAGTAATTCTGGTTTGAGGCCCCAGTGGGAGGTTCTGTGGAGTCTGAGAAGCCAGGTTGTTCCGTTGGGGGCTCTTCCTGGGTCTGCTGCCCACTTCTAGCTCGGTGCTTCTCCTCTCTCAGAGCCAATCAGTTTCCAAAGGGGAAGGGTGTGGGAGATTAAGATACAGCTCCCCGCCCTGGCCAGTTTGCTCAGCAGTTAGAGCGTTG